ATGCCCTGTCCATTGTAATGTTCTTATTGAATAGTGACTGTAGCTATAATATAACCTGGAAACTCTTAAGGTTCATGAGCAGAGTGGACCATACTTTTCCTCAATAAACATGCATGACATTTACTCTGCCTGTCTTTCATTCCTTCTGCATGAAGGCCAATTTATGCTGATCTGGAAGTTTTAATATTTGTGTGACTCCCTTTATATACTGTCATACTATTCTTATGTCTTGTATAACAGCAAAAATCCTATTCCTCAGTGAATTAAAGATGGAAGAACTTGTTGCTTCTTGAAAATCACAGAGACACAATATGTAGCAAATAGATTCTTGAGAAGTAGTAAAGCTTGGCTACATAGAGATTTTCACCTGAAATACTAGATGTCTTATAATGTCTACCGTGTAACTTGCATGGCAACTCTTTTATCTTTGTTTGAAGTCGAAGTCAGATATATATTGAACATCCACATCACATATGTAGCGTCTTAGTCTTTTTTTGTGTGTACAGTTTTATTGGAAGTTTGTTTCTGTAATAATGGGCTCTGAAGCACCTGTTATAAAATTATATTTAGTCTTGGGATGTATATTCCATAGAAACCCAAAGGGACATACAATAATATCACATGATGAAGCAACGTTATAGAAGTCTTTTGATCTACTAGAATCAGCAGGATTGTCAACCATGATCATAATCACTGAAGCTACATTATATATTTCTTTTTATCTAATGCAGCAAAATCAGTTCCCATATGATTAATTTGTGAGCCAGCAAGGGTCCATAATGCATCAAATAAAGATATGATTCAAATATTAAACCATCTCAAGTGGATCTAAAACATAAGTTCTTGAACTTGACCTTCATATTCTTTGTATATTTACAGCTCTCAGTGGTTCTGGGTCAAGTTAAACAAGTAAAAATGCATCCTGGTAAACTCAGAGCTGTATATTCCTTTTTCTGCTTTGCCAGAAGCAAAACAAAAAATGTCTAGCTTATTTCTTCATTGGCTAACAGACACATTTTACATCCAGAGCATTATATATTTAATTGTCATTCTCCACTCCTCCCTCAAGTGGTCTCTTTCTCAGAACACTTGTCTTGTTTTTGTTTAGATATTCTAAACACGCATAACTTGAAGCCACAAGGTAAACCTACCTACTTGTATAAAAAAATATCAGAGCATTTGGTTGTGGATAATTTAATAAGATGCATACTTGTATTGAGGAGCTATCACTGATTTTCCAATTTGATTACTTGGGGGTTGGACGTTGACCCTCTTTTCTATTCCTTTCCTTTATTTTTTACTTCGGTCCAAGGACCTTTAGTTGCTAAAAAAAATCTGGTAAAGTAAGATTTAAAACAATAAAAACACCCAATCAGAACCAATCATAGTGTTAATTACTAACCTATGGATTACTCTCTTCCTTTCTTTGCTATTTAATTACCATTATTAATTTTACTAACCAGTGCAGTGTTGGTTTGAATTTGTTTCTTAACCAGTTCCTGGATCTTTATTTTCTGCACCCCATTCTAATCTTGCTTGTGTATTTTTCTTCATCTCCCTAGAACAACTTCATCAACCTGAGTTTTCTTAGGCTGTTTCGAGCTGCCCGTCTCATTAAGCTGCTCCGACAAGGCTATACCATCCGCATTCTGCTCTGGACCTTTGTCCAATCTTTTAAGGTAATGATCAAAGGTACTGAATTGCTAATTTAAGATGTTTGGGACAGAGAATAAAAATACAAAGATATAAAAGCTAAGGACCCAGACCTGGCATCTTCACAACTCTGCTTCTTTCATTTCTATTCAATCTATAGCTATTAACTGTAACTTTAAAATATGATCTTCATTATGGTGCCAGTAGAATTATATCTTATGAATATTTTTCTCATATTTTTACATAAAAGCAGTCACAGCAAAATTTTTGTAGTCATAGTAGTTTGCAACAGGAATTAGTAAAAAAAAAAAGTAATATAGCTTTATTACTGCATTGAATTAAAAAAAACAGCAGTGAGAATTTGGGAACAGCTAAAGTTTGTAAGAAGCAAAGTGCCATATTCCCAGGAAAACCAGTGTGATTGTTTAAAGAAAATAAATTTAGAAAATAAATGTTTTTATTTCATTAGGCCCTTCCATATGTGTGTTTGCTGATTGCAATGCTGTTTTTTATCTACGCCATTATAGGAATGCAGGTAAGCCCACTATCTCCTGTGGAGTATTGTTATGCTTGCTGCAGAAGCAGTGTGATGGCTTGGGATTGGTAGCTCTATTGGTTTTATTTTATGCATTTTGAATTTGAGAGACCTCAGCCAGTGGGTGGCTATGTGGAGAGTCCTGAAGAATACAGAATAACAGACTTGGAAGGAACCTTGGTAGTCTTCTAGTCAACCCCCTGCTCAAGCAGGAGACTTTATACCATTTAAGACAAATGGGTGTCCAATCTCTTCTTAAAAACCTCCAATGATGGAGTATTAACAACTTCTAGAGGCAAGCCATTCCACTGGTTAATTATTCTCACTGTCTGTAAATTTCTCCTTAATTATATGTTGAATCTCTCCTTAATAAGTTTCCATCTCTTACTTCTTGTTCTGCCCTCAGGTGCTTTGGAAAATAATTGACCCCCATTTCTCTGTAACAGTCTCTCAAATACCAGAAGACTGCTATCATGTCACCCCTAGTCCTTCTCTTTATGAGACTAGACATACCGAGTTCCTGCAACCATTCATCATATGATTTAGCCTCCAGCTCTCTGTTGATCTTTGTTGAACTTCTCACCACTTTTTCTAGAGTCCCAACGTCTTTTTGTTTCATGGTGACCAAAACTGGTTAGGGTCCAGGGTTTAAGTCTGTCAAGATCTTTCTGGATCTTAAGCACTTCTGATATCATCCACAAATCTCTTGATATCATCCACAAATTTCATGAATTCCCTTTTTATCCCTTCATCTAAATCATTTATGAAGACGTTGAAGATATTGGGCCTAAGACAAAACCTTGAGGTACCCCACTGCATGCTTGTAGATGTGGTTGCATTGAGGATTACATGTTGAGTGCAGTTTGTCAGCCAGTTACGAATCCATATGGTGGTGATGCTGTCTATCCCACATTTTTCTATCTTACCAAGAAGTAGGTAGCGTTCTACTTTGTCAAATGACTTACTAAAGAAAATATACTATGTGAAAATATACTATGTCCAAGCATTTTGCTGGTCCACTAAGTTAGTCACTTTGTGAAAGAATGCAATTAGGCTTATCTGGCGTGATCTGTTTTTGACAAACTCATAATTCTGTGACATTATTAATCAATGACATTTTTGTTACAACCATCTCCTTTGCAACATGTTAGTGCTTGCTCCATATATTCTAGTACAGTCTGAAATTGTTTAATGTAGTATCTTTCACATTTTAAAGCAATGTTTATGTAGTGGTATGAAATAGCCTGATTACACATTTATCCTTAAAAAATTAGCCTAGTCATATGATTTCAGGGTTTCATTGGACTATCCTTTTGCATGGTTCTGGATTTAGAACTAGCTCCAATAAGAGAGGAAGGATGGGAAGCACTGAAAGAGAACTTATCTCTGCCAGAAATGAGATATGAAATATCTGCCAGAAGTTTCCTATATAGGGAAGGTTGAAAGAGTAGGGTTGCCCTCATTCTTTATACTTGAGAAATCTGTTTTTATCCTTTGACTCAGGGAACTCATCCCAGGAAACATCTGGAGTTCAAACAGATAGATATTTCTCCACTACTGCTTTTAATCAATGATAAAAGAAGCATTCTGGCTCTATTGCAGCTGGCAAAGACCCTTAAAGTGTTTGCCTTGGAACAATAACTTGGTTGCTGATTTGCCATAGCTCATTGCAAACTCTTGCTGAAGGAGCACTCCAAGCTTTTATCAGGAATGCTTGTATTCAAGCACTGATTTTTCTATAAGACAATGGTGTCTATTTTTCCCCAAAATGTTTAATTTTTTTTATCAATTGCATTTGATAATTGCAAGTTTTTAAAATCTGTATATACCTTTGTTTCTTCAGGTTTTTGGCAATATTAGCATTGAACATGATGAGGATATGCCTGAGGATGACTTGCCTGCCATCACTGAGCACAATAATTTTCGCACATTCTTTCAAGCTTTGATGCTTCTTTTTAGGTGAGACTCAGCCATTATAACCGTGTTAAAGTACTGTGATACCAAGAGCCCTGGCTTTCTTAGGCTTATCAAGCCTTCATCTAATGCAAAAAATTATTTTATTCTGTTAGATAAAACTCAGCTAAATTAATTGTACACTGTACTGGTAGCTCAATAGACAATGTAATGGAAATTGTTTCTTAGTTCTACAAAAAAGTAACTGACCCAGTTCTGTATAAGAAAAAACAATTATTTTATTACCACAATTCATCCATTATAGTCAATAAGTTAATGTTGTAATTAACATAGTTTATATTCTGTTCTAGCAATCATTTAATACTGTCTGAGCCCACAAGTTTCTGATTTCTGATTACTAGTATCACGCTTGTCCTCAGATGGTGATATGACTGCTCCTTCTATGCTGAGTTTCCAGTGCTCACTATCTGTTCTTATTTCATCTCCCTTTCCCAGAAGTGCCACAGGTGAGGCTTGGCATGAGATCATGCTCTCTTGTCTAAGTGGAAAACTCTGTGATGAAAAAGCAGATCTCAAAGGATATCAGTGTGGCAATGAGTTTGCATACTTCTATTTTGTTTCCTTCATTTTCCTGTGTTCTTTCCTGGTGAGTAAAGGATACACAGAGTACTAAATAGGTAGATAAAGCATGTATTTGGGATATATGAGACCATGAATATTACTGATTAAAATGTCAGTAGACTATCCTTCTAAGATAGCATTTCAAAATGATTTAACAGTCAGTTGTAGGACTGTCAGTCTTTATCCAACATTATGTTTCATGATAGTTTTTAAAAAGTCACATATTTCAAATGATTATCAATATATAATTAAAAGAAATAAGAGAGGGAAAGGTAAATCTTCTATATCAGAGTTGCCCAACATTTCTGGTTTTGCAGATCGGGGGTGGGGGATGGTATTTCCATGAGCGGCATGCACCTGCACCTGCTGCTCATGCAAATGAGGATATGCGTGTGCGCCTGCTCCCTGGCCATTTCCACAGCCCAGTTACAAACCCATCATGACTCATTAGTGGGCCATAGCCCACAATTTGGGGGCCCCTGTTCTATATATCAGTTACTGAAAAGCAAACAGATGCTTTCAAAAACATTTTAAATATCATAGGTGGCAAGGAATACATTCCAAATAGCATTATTGTAAAAACTCGAAGTGTATCAAGGAACTTATTTTCCTCTTCTCCCCAAATTATATTATCTCAAAGAAAACAGAATGTTTTTGCTGTTGCAAACATGAAGTGAAAAAATGCATTTTCTCTGTGGTAAAATATGAAAAACCAGTATGGAAAACTAGCACGACAAACATATTTTTATTGAGTAGTGGCTTTCCATTCCTGATGTTAAGCAGAATGAAGGTGGTGTTAATTCAACAATAGCACTCAACTTTTTAAAAATTGGTGTGGGAAAATAAGTACCAAAAAACGAAAAATGTTTAAGATACTGGTCACATTTTTCTTTTCTTTTTTTGTTTCTGATGTCTATCATTTTAATCACTTCCTCAGCTTTTAAATGTAAAGGGCAACTAATGGGTTATATTATGTGCCTGAAAAGGAGCTGTTATTTTTAGTGACACTTTCCTAGCTGCCATTACATCCACTGGTTAAGGATTAAGGATAGCCCTATAATCTGGAAGGCGTCAAATTGTACACTGGCCATATTAATAATCTTTTAAATTGCCTACTTGCATCTGAAGCAATGCCTCTCTTTCTAAAACATTTACATAATTGAGACAAGTATCCAGAAAATTTTTATACCACAGGCAACTGCCTAGTTTCTCTATAGTTGTTAAGCACAATTTAGAAGATGCATTTGGTATTAGTTCCTTCTATTTCCTTATTTTATTCCAGGAACTAATAAGGGAGGCTTCATGAGTGTCTGGAGCAATATAATCTAACTCACTATCTTTGTACAAATTAAGAATTTATTTTTGATGATGTACTTCAGTGTGCAGTGATTTTGTACTGGATTCCATATTGTGTTCTCTTTCAAGAAAGTGTATTCTACTTGTTCTACCTCCAATTGCCCTAAAATTCTACCAGCAATCCATATCCACCTTATTCCCTACTAAGTGTTTTTTCTTGCTTTTATATATGCTTTTATATAAGTCTGTTTATATCTATCTAAAAATGTATAATCTTGTGTGTAAGAAAGGGTGTAAAACATATTGTTTAATATACTATGCGGTCTCTTTTTATTAGATGCTTGAGCAGGTTTTTAAGTTCTTGCCAGGCAAGAAATATGAAGCAAGAAATAAATTCATCTTTTTTTTCCTGGAATTTCTGGTTATTTTGTATTTCTATTTTTCACTACAATTTTGATGTTGCAGATGTTGAACCTTTTCGTGGCTGTCATCATGGATAACTTTGAATATCTGACCCGTGACTCTTCCATTTTGGGGCCCCACCACCTGGATGAGTATGTTCGTGTGTGGGCTGAGTATGACCCTGCTGCCTGGTAAGGACACATCTATCTTACCGCTTCCAGTATGAAACCCAGACCCAAAGTCCATCTGAAGCAAGTGTTTACGGAAGTGGGTTTGATTGATTCATGATTTGGGATAGACTCCATAATAAGGAGATCCAAAGCAGGGGAGGGAGAAGTTCAATATGAACAGCGAGGCAGGAACATAATATATCAATTCCAGTAGAAAAGTGAGAGCTAAAAGTTATAAACAGTAAGTGAAAGCCAGTCCAGTTAAGATTATTTTATTACCTTTACACAGGAGGGGCTTTTGGCTGGTAAAAGCTTTTGCATTCTCATTCCAAAATGAAAGGCAGACCAACCTAGAGCAAGAAGGTGAAAAGAAGAATAGGATTCTGTTCACAAGGAAGGCTAGGATTTTATCTTGGCTTATTTTAGCAGAGTTGAACTATGGTAGGTCTTGATAGGTTACCAGCATTAACTACTGTGTTGTGAGAGAAAGATATTAACTGAGATAGAAGTGGAGCTACTGCCCCTGTTTGCATGCGCTCCATTGTGAGTCATACATTCTAGCAGAGCTCCAATCACCATGGAGCTGTAGCCCTGCCCTTCTGCTCTTCCCATTTCCATTCCTGTTGGCTAATTTCTCTGGGTCTTACTATAA